ACTGTTCGTGAATGGATCTTGTGTAGCAGTCAGTAGTTCCATTATCAGTACACAAGCAGACACCAATGGGAGTTGATGTGACATGTGATGAAAGAGGAGTTGGAAATCCTTCAAGAGATATGCTGCTAGAGCAATTGATAGCTTCAATGAATGGTGATGTCTTGCTACCATCTGGAACTGATTCAAAAAGATACCTATGTTTGCATTTCCAAATTTTTCCATTATAAACATCATTTCCAGCTACCACTGCTGTATTGTTAACAAATATTGGTGTGAAATTTTGAAATGTACAAAATTCAACAAGGCTTTCTATTTTCAGGATATTAACATCAACATAAATGGCCCCTCCAACACCATGGGCTGTATTATTAATAAAGTATACATCTACGCTACTACTCAGAATTATCCCTCCACCTATCTGCATTCCAGCACCATTATTGATTGATGTATTATTTATGAAGCTACTGGGATGGCTGGTGAAATTTAGAAGGCTCTGACCATAGGCATATATTCCACAACCACACTCGGAAACTGTAACATTGATAAGAGTTATAGAGCTAGATGTATAAAAGCCTTTGTTATAAAAGAAAGACAATCCACATCCCTTAGAAACTCTTTTGATTGTGACATTGTTTAATGTAATATTGCCGCCATTGGACTGAAAGGTTAAACTTGTGTTGCTTGTAGCTGTTACATTAATGACCGAAATATTGTTACCATTTTCCACCATGGTGAACTGAAAGGCCTGCAATCTATTTTTGACAGATAAATAGTTACCATTTAGAGTTATAATGATCTCTGCTAATCCATCTATAATTATATCTGAGAGCATAATGTTGTCTTTGTTGCTAACTACAATGACTCCATTGAACAGGTGATATGAATTCAAATACACATCAGATACAGAAAGGTCATTGTCATTGCCAGCCACTGTCATCGAGCCGTTCCATATTTTGATATTTTTTATAATAATTTGCTTATGATTTTGCTCAACCATCAATCCTATTGGTTGTATGTCAAAGTCAGGATCTAAAAACTTTTTTGCATTTGTTTTACTGAATGAACTTTTTATATATACTGTGACATCTTGCAGAGAAATGTTGTTTTTGTTTCGAAATAGGACCATTATTCCATTGAATATAGTCACATTGCTAACACTTACGTAACTGCCACAACCTCTTACTGAAAGTGCTGATGCATTCCATAAGTAGTCATCATCTCTTGACAGACCAATGGTCTTGTCTTTGCTGTAACCTACTGTAATATTTCTAAGTGTAATATTATCCCCATTTTTTAACAATCGGATTATCCCAACCACATAAGAATTACCAATGCTTATATTATTGCCATTAAATCCAACATTTAGTCCAACATTGGTATAAATATCATCAATATTCAGACTACTGTTGATTTCACTCACTGAAATTGTTCCATCGCCTCTTACTCGGATCCCAGCAATGTCAACATGATGACTGTTGTTACTGCCATCAATAAAAAGAAGATAACAATGAAAGGTCTCTTGTGTAAGGATGAGGGTTGCCTCAATGTTTATTGTGAAATTTTTAAAAACAAAATGACTTCCATTGATTACTATTGCAACTCGCCCACCATTCACTGCTACATTAGTGATGCTCATGTAGCTACTACAGTTTAATACTGAGAATACGGTATAATTACATCTGTTTTGATAAACAGTGGCTTTGACATTGGAGACACTCAAATGATTGTGCACATTTTCAATCTTAATTTTTCCACCTGTTGCTGTGACATCTCTAATGTTTACGTGACAACTGTGAGTGTCATGCCTCCCAATAACTGCAAGAGCATAGCATCCATCACACTTTACAGTTATATTGCTCAAATTTGAATGATTGCCTATGCCCTTAATGAGTATGACTGCAACGACTTTGTAGCTTGCCGAAGCTATGATATTTTCTAGTTGCACTACAGCATTAATCAAAATCATCGAATAGCAACTCGTATTAGATATTGCAATGTTGGTAGAATTAACAGCTCCCAAAATACCTTTGAAAAACATGTTGCATGCTTCAACGTTACTATTATTAATCAGCATCAGAGAAGGTATTTCTAAATTTCTTAGTGTAACTGTGCGTGAATTTAGAATCACCATTGAACCATTAATGAGCTTTGCTTTCTCTTCACCAGCTCCTGAATTGCCTCTGATGACTAGATTACTGGAATCTAGGAAGCCAATAAAGTTACCAGGTATTACATGCACTCCTGGAAAGAAGATAAGTTCGGTATTTGGAGGAAAAAAGAAATTTGCATAAAAAGAAAACATGTGACACTCATGATTCACAATTAAATGACAGTCACTATCATCACTAGCAACGTATAAGGTTGTGGTATTGTTTTCTAGATCTTGAGAGATGACAAAAGATACCAACAGAAACAAAATAATCTATAAAAGATAAAAGGTAGCTATAGTCACTCAATACAAGTAGATCTAACTTACTGCAATCATCATATCCACTTCAAGTAATAGCAAAACTTGTTTGTACTTGTACTTATATAATCAATGATTACAGTTTTGTTTATTGCAGTTCAGTGAAAATGATAAAAAAGTGAATCTTAACGCAAAAACAATAAGTGTGCAAACATACAAATGCAAACTTAACATAACATAACATAACAAGATGCATGTTATGTTATGTGTGCAAGCTAGCATAACAGGATGCATGTACTTCTCATTCAAGTTATAATCATAAATAATTACTAAACTTTACATGATTAAACTCAATGACAGTGATGACAAATAATTACCAACAAATAATAATTTGAGCGCATGCAATTACTCTGAATATAACTGATCAATGATGTCTCTATATTTTTCAGTAACAAATTTCCTCTTTAGCTTAAAAGTAGGAGTCAGCTCTCCACCATCGACACTAAAGTCAAGAGGAAGTATAGCAAACTTCTAAAAATAAAAATAAAAATGCAAATAACCAAAGCCACAAATCCTATTCATAACAAAAACTATGCAGATTATTAATATGTCTGTCATGTGGACTGTGGAGTATATAAATAAGATATTGCCATACCTGAACTTTTGCTGCCCGGCTAATAGCCTGCTCATTAGCCTGTTCCATTCCTTGCTGTATATAACGTTTAATAACATCATCATTCATAGCTTCTGACACTAAATATAACACCATTCCCTCTAGTAATTAATATAATTGACTGGGCCACTGACCAGTAGTAGCACTAGATCCTATTTCATAAGCTACTTGCTTAGCAATGGAGTCCATGTCATCAGTTGGTTGGCGTCCATCAAGCAGCTGTGATCATATATAAGAGAACTATTATCATAATTAACAAACAATTCAGTCTTACCACACAGCGTATTGTCACTAGCATTGTCAAGTAATGTCTTTCATCACCAACTATCATTACATTGCTGATAATACGAATTTTTTCTTTCATATTCTATTGATAAAAAAACAAGATCTTTAGCATGTACACAAGTTAATTATAAATCCTCTAACCTGTTCAATAGGTACTGGGGCCACATTCTCACCACCTTTAGTGATAATGATCTCCTTCAGTCGACCAGTAATATAATAAAAACCTACATCAAGTTCACATTATTAAATATTCACAAACATGATGGAAGAATTGAAAAAAGCTATGGCACCACGTCCTCAGAAAGTTTGAACTAAGTATAATTATTAATTCATCAGCTCAAAGCTGACCCATAGTGAAACAACATACAAGAGGGTTTCCCACAAAGCATGCTAAGTAAGCTAAACAGCATGCTTTATGAGCTGACAAGCACCACAATAATACATGACTTTGAAGCAACTTTTAAAATTTGTAAAAAAATCCAATTTTGATCGGAATCTGCTCAAACTTGCTACACAGCATAAGGACATGTATACGTATCAGATAAAATTATAAAAATGGAGAAATCTCACCTAGCCATTTTTGACAAAATTCGGCCAACGACCCTGTACTATATAGTACAGGGAGTTTGGACCAATTTTTGAGCAATTTTAAAAATTCGTAAAAAATCTAATTTTGACCGGAATCCACTCAAACTTGCTACACAGCATAAGGACATGTATACGTATCAGATAAAATTATAAAAATGAAAAAATCTCACCTAGCCATTTTCGACAAAATTCGGCCAACGACCCTGTACAGGGAGTTTAGACCAATTTTTGAGCAATTTTAAAAATTCGTAAAAATCTAATTTTGACCGGAATCCACTCAAACTTGCTACACAACATAAGAACATGTATATGTTTCAGAAAAAAATATAAAAATGGCAAAATCTCTTCTAGCAAAATACCCTGTATTTTGTAAATTTTAGAGCAACTTAAAAAATCCACCGACAAGAGCACTATAATGCCAAAATCCCATGGGTAAACCCTGTTACACAGTGCACTATAGTAACTGTACCATCATCATCAATTCTCCCAATGTCTCCCGAATGCAACCAGCCATCTTCATCAACACATTCTGCTGTCTTCTCAGCTTGATACAAGTATCCCATGAAGACATGACGCCCACGGAAGCATATCTCCCCATCTCCTTCACTGTCCGGTTTATCAATCTTTATCTCAATTCCTATTAATGAGCGTCCAGCTGCTCCTGGTTTATAGCTACCTATTGGAACACAACAACAACTCATAAAATCCCAGTACAAGCTTATTATCATTATCATTATTATCATTATTACCTTGACAGTTGAGGCAACTCACTCCGGTTGTTTCTGACATCCCGTATGCTTGGAAAACTGGAATATCAAAGTCTCCAAAGAATTCTGTGATTGCCATAGGAAGAGGAGCTGCTGCTGATACCTGTTAAATGTTATTGTAGTTCTATGTATTCACTAGTAAAAGTTTCATAAAAATAATCATGAATGTAATTTGAATTGACCATAGAGATGCTACTGTATCCATAACATACCACATTGCATTATCTATGGCTGCATAATAAAACATGCACTCTCTATCACTTACTGTTAGTCTACAACGGTCTAATCCCAATTTGTCTCTCAGTGAGTTGAAGCAGGTCCTATTATGAATGTTGTTAAAAACTTATTAATACGTTTTTAGTACTTTTGAGCAAGCCAGTAACCCCAAGCCACACTTTGACCTTGCAGCCGATTAGCTTGTGTCTTTCTACCAACATTCTATAACAAAATAAGTTAATTTCAACAGTCCAAACACTCATAAAATAAGTCAAAATACAAGTATGGCTGGTGTGAAATTTGATAATGAATACACCTACATACAGTGAGGAATGCGCACACCATGTATAATAACATTATACATGAATATAGAAACGTGAACTAGGGCATTGTTATGGGACTATACTAACTACAATATTTACAAAACATGTGAAACAAAATATAAACTACAATAAATGGGCATGACATTGACTTTATTACAAAGACTGGTATATATACATGATCATATCAACATATCAATGATAAAAAGGAAATAAAAAATAGCTCGCTAATGAGATCTAAAAAATTAGAAATTAAATTTGAAGACAGTTTAGATTTTGGAGACAATTTTCGGGCATATTTGGTCGGCAAGATCCATCGTCAGTGCTACAATGGCACCAGTTGGATTCCAGGAGCCGCCAGTAGGCCAGAGGGACCCACCAGTAATGTAGACATTCTCAACTCCTTTGGGTCTGTAGTCCAGTCCCACTGGTGACTCACTATCATCCCTTCCTATCCACATTGTCGAGCTCTCATGTACCAAGGACCCAGTGAGTATGTTTGTAGGCTTCCCTCTCCTCCATTCTTTTTGCTCTCCGTCGATCTCGTGGATGTATTCTATTTCATCAGGAGATTCACTTAGTGCTTCAAAGACACGAAAAACAGATTTCTCCATAGCCTTCAACAACTCGCCATCTTTAGCATTGGGGACTACCTGAAGGCTAATGTTACTCGTTTTATCCTCCTCCCCATCTTTCAAACGATACCAGTTATCCTCATTGGCATGGTCCAGCTCACCCAGGGCTGCACACTTAAATACAACGTATTTCTCTGAAGACTTTAAACACTCGTCAGCAGACGTAAACCTGCCAGGCATGTAATGGTGTCTCTTATGAATGTGTGCCGGATCCTCTGGATTGCTGTCGTGGATTGCTGTCAACTGAAAGTGAAATTGCTGTTTCAAGTGACGCCCTTTAATGTACATGGCTCCTATCTCCAATAGATCTTCTCTAGGTGTAGCAATGAGGCTTTCAACTGGCATGCGGGCTGTTACACCACTGATGATATGGGCTGAAAATTTCTCCCCTACTTTAGACAAACGGGGGAACTCCTCTTTTGAGAAAGAGTTAAGGACGAGCGTGGTCCCAGGGAGTACACCCATAGCCAGGATTAGGTTTGCATCTCCTATCTCAACGTCTCCTCTACTAGTTTCCAGACTAAGAGCTTTGGATTTTCCGTCATGACGAATAAGCTTCACATTGCAGCCACTGACCATCTTTATCTTTCCCTTCAAACTTAGATCAATGAGAGCCTCGGGAACTGAGAACTTGTGAAAGTTTTCATTCCTATGAATATAGAAAAGAATAGATTATACATTGTAAAGATACATTGCTTGCTGTGTAAACAGCTAAATCTGTTATAATACACAGTGAGTGGGGAATTACCCTGAACTAAAAACATCAAACCTTACAGGAATTACAGACATGTAATAATGAATAGTCATAACTGTACTAAAAATAGACCATTATACAACCGATTGAGCCGGTTTTATAACTTGATTAATATCCACCGCCCACAAACAGGATGACACAGCATTATCCCACAAACACAATGACTTGGCAAAAGAAAAAAAAACTGAAACTGCTAAATCGTAAATATACATGTACATAACCTACACATGTAGCATGTACAGTAGTGTACCTATACATACAGGTACATGTACAATACATCTAGCATCAACATCTACATGCATAAATGAATGATCGTTATATAAATTACCTGCATCGTCCAGCTCCTACTGCTAGAGGTGCTGGGTCTGAAGATATCATATGCTCATCATCTTTCAGCTTCTCCTTCAATAATTCTCCCATCCTTTCTTGCAGTTCTCCATAAATTGGTCTCTTCTCATTGCCTGCTCCTATTTCATCTGCTGGTACAACGTGCAGGAACTCAACTGCCTCCTTAAAATGTCTAAAGATTCGTTCCTTTATCTCCTCAGGCCATCCTTCAAGCTCATCATGAGATGGTTCGGGTATCCAGCCACTCCAAACACACGAACGACCTCCAAAGTAATTAATGGTGCCCCTCACAAATAACTTGCCGTGTTTCCCATTCCATGTCTCATCAGTGAGACTCCACGGAAAGTTTTCAATAGAATCCCCAACTGTCTTCTTGTAATGCGAAGGAAGGTTTTGAAAGTGCTCCTGGAGAAACAAGTGGCCTTGCTCAAGGACTAGTATCTTAGTATTTGGATTATTAGCTAGTGCTCTTTTGATGAACGACAGGGCGCAGAACGAAGACCCAATAACAATCTGATCAAACTCCTTTGAAACTCTCGCTTTATCCCACTCTTTCTTGGAAAGAAAGAAGTTCTCATCCAGTAGATCAGTGCCGCTAACACACCTGGTAATACTAGGACCTGGATACCCACGAACTGATTCACCTGAAGCCATAGTAGAGAGAGGAGAGAGTGAGGGAGAGTGCCCGTATAGAGTGACACTACAAAGCGTGCAGCTCCATCTTATATAGTAGACTGTTTCCTGGTGTAATGATTCTCCACATTCAAACTATGAATATCATTAACGGAGAATATTCATTGACACTTGCTGCCCTATCAACACATTCTGGTCCTGGCTACTACAGAAAGGAATGATGAATAATGATATCTCAGGAAACTTCCCCTTCCAATGAGTCAATGACTGGACAGATTCCATTAAACACACAAAGATACACGGGAAGAAGGACCAACAAGTTACAGTTAATGCGTGATACAGGCGAACTAACACAGAATAAGGAGTGTGGTGGACTGATATGAATAATTTCCAAACATGTGACGCTTTACTTTAGCTCAAGTGTTAGAATTATAACCTTGCCACTCTATCATGAATACACTATACATGCATGTACTGTAGTGTAAAGCCAGATTTACAATATGACGCTAGGCCAACGTAACGTCAATTTTTAATCAAAAGCGTAGGCAATTTGACCTTTTCACGCATGCTTCACGCTGGAGTTGAACCAGATTCAACTTCTGCGTCAACGTAACGTCAGGACTAGCGTCATATTGTAAATCCGGCTTAAGTCTAACTAAGCATAATTACTGACATTCTTGTATGGCAACTTTAATTGGGATAAAAACAAAAAATGTGCTCCATCATTCTTTCTCTTTATAAGCTTAACACAAAATACTCCCCAAAAAAAACAAATTTACCATGCCTATACTATGAGGTAATAGATCAACATTCTAAAAATATCTTCACACATGATAACATGTGCTGGTAATTATTATCTACTAACTCTTGATGCGTTGATGATGGCTGCCTTTATTCCTGAAGCTTTAGCCAGCTCTATCTCAAGAGCGTCCTTAAACTTCTCCCAGACTCTTGGGACGGCAAAGAAGAAGGTTGGGTGTACATCCTAATGGGAAAAACCCGAATAAAGTGCATGTAGCAGCTTACAGTAACAGAAAATAAATAATTCGCTGACGTAAAAAAAAAGTAAAATTGTACACATCTTTAATTATCTTATCAGTAAATGAAATTAACAAAGCCCTTACCATACAATTATATACACATGACTACTGTACAGTGAAACAACATACAAGTAATTTAATCTGAGAATTGTTAAAGGTACATATGTATATAGCCATTATTGTGTACATAACTCAAAATGGCTCGACAAAACATACCAGTATTGTTTGTTTGAGACTTCCCTTCAGAGCATCAGGCTGTGCGAACCAAACACAGGACCCAATGAGTGCTGGAGTCACTATATCAACCACTTGACCTGCAATGTGACTCAGGGGAAGGTAACTGATGTGGGACTCAACCTACAAGAGAAGATATACCATTACCATATACTATAAACTGTATGAAGGATGGTTTACAATATGACGTTAGACCAACGTATCGTCAATTTTTAATCAAAAGCGTGGGCGATTTGACCTTTTGACGCATGCTTTCCACTAGAATAGAACCAGATTCTATTCTAGCGTCAACGTAACGTCAGGACTAGCATAATATTGTAAACCAGCTTTAAGAGCATTAGAATCATAGCCATAATCCAATTCATAATAACTATTATTCATAAATACATCATAATCTTAGTACTTAATCATTACTATACCAATGCATGTGTTATTCATTTGTGACATGTACATGTATTACATACCTCAGTTGCATCATAGCTTTTAGCTAAAATGGTACTAGACCACACAATATTATCGTGACTTAGCATCACTCCCTACAAAATAAATAAAATAATAAAAACAAGTAATAGATTCTCTCCTTCCCCTTATCTCCAATGTTAAGAGATGACATAATGCACATGCACACATGCACAAAGTAAAAAAAAATAGAAAATTGCATACAAAAGGAGTTACTGCATACCTTTGGAGGGCCAGTTGTTCCAGAAGTGTATATAAGGCTGGCACAATGGCCTGGCTTCTGATGATCCATCCTCCATGATAATTCATAATCAGGTATACCCTATAGGGGGGTAATATACATGTACAATGTACTATCGATAATTTGATAAGGAGTATTATTTCTGATAGTGGAGTGCTATATTTTGGCAACTCCATGTGACTTTCATTTGTAGTACACAGACTGATTCAAGTACACAATGTAGTACTGTTACTTATGCTGCGTTTACACTACAGAAGTGGGCCAAACTGTGCTGAACCAGGCTGAGCTGGCCCTGCTGTACTAACCATGCTGGCCTGGTTTGGCCCAGCTCACTTCAGCTCAGTTTGGTTACTGTTTACACTATGAAATGAAACTGTGCTGGCCCACTTTAAACAGGGCTGACTCAGTTAAAGAAACTAGTGTAAACATAGTATAAGTATACATAATTAGATACTGTGTCTTATGTAAATGATCATAATAAAACTCTCCAAATTTAATTTTCTACCATAAACACATCAAATTGAAACCGAACAAACTGTACAATAACCAAACTGTACTATATAATAATAATAAGAGTCTTTCATAATTAACATCAATTGTATGAGATTAGTTTTAGGAAAAATAAAGAGTCCCTTGACAAATGTTTTGAACAAAATACCCATTGCATGAATGTTTCAAGCGAGCAGCTGCAACAAACAACGAGTACACAAAGACTCACTTGTCCCTTTTCCATGAACTCGTCCCACGTCATGACGCCACTTTCCTTCATCTCAGGATCAAGCGGCTCAATAGACTCAGGAATATACTTCACTATAACTTTTAAATGAGGCAGTCTGTCTCTCACCTAACAAGCAGTGGCTAAAAAGAGAGGTCATTAGAGATGCACCTGTAACAGCTTTGTCAATTGTTTCTTGTCTTCACAAATGAATATTTGAGCACGAGAGTTATCAGCAATGTAATGACAAGCCTCTATAAAGAAGGAAAGGGAGGGATTGAAGGTAGCTTTGGGTATGCAAGCTCGTTCCAACGTTACCTTTTGTATTAGTCGTGTATATACCTGTAGCTATACCACCGGCCTATAATGATAAAACAATGAGTGACAAGTAATGATGCATAGTAGTACAGACACAACAAAACAAACAATGGAACAGATGGTGGTTGTCAATTTAATGGATGCCTGCATACCTAGTATTCACAGCAAGGTATGTACTTAAAAATAATAATTTATGGTTTGAAGTGGGTAAAAAGGGAAACCACAACGAGATCCTCCTACTGAAATACAACCACAATCATTCCCAGTGGACCCTTCTCCCTCCTTGCTCTTACTAGTATGCACCCCATGTATGATAATAGCCATTCTGGTGAATTGAACCCGATTATGCCAACACCATAATGCTGCTCTAGGCCAAGACGGATCATAGATTTGGCAGCTCTGGTAGCATCAGCATAGTACTGTTCATAGGTCCAAGTTATCCACCTCCCGTCTCGCTTCACTCTAAGAGCTGGGCGAGACCCGTGCTTCAGTACAGTGCTACGAAATGACTGAGTGAAGGTAGAGGCTGGAATAGAACCTGGACCAGTGAGACTAACCTACCAAAAAATTGCATAGAGTGAAAAAATGATTAGATCTTTCAACCTACTTTGAGAAGAGCTTCTCCGTCTGGTACTGTAGTCCAGTGTTTAGTAGAAGTTTCCATGATTCTGACGACTATAGGCCACCGTTTCAGCTGCTTTTAGTATCTTCTCTTTTGCTCAAATGCTAATGCTGTAAAACAGGAACTCAACACGTGGCCTTTTAATAATATTAGGTCATCTAGATCTACAAGCTACGCCTTGAGGACGGGCTTGTTTTGTTGTCTTGTCTCGTGATTACTGATTATAAATTTTGAGCTGAGGCAAGCATCAAAGCAGTATGAGTATGGATAAATTCCCTACAAGTACAAGCCCCACCAACCCTTCAGAGAAGCAGCTCCTTTTAGGTAATGTTGATATCAATGTCAATGCTAAACCCAATGAACAAGGAGCAAAGTAAGCCTTGGCTTGTCTTCCCTCACTTGAATCCATCCCTTCTTTCCTTTTTTAGTGTTGTTGCTACCTTCTTTAACTTTGCCAAAGCTAGCATTGGCTCGGGTAGTTTTGCTCTTCCTTTTGCTGTCCTCTCAGCAGGAGTGATAATAGGATCACTTGGTATGATACTCCTTGGAGTCGTAAGGTAAAATAATATTATGATGCAATAGTTATTAGAAATATAATTATGTTGAAGATAAAGTGGCATTATATACGTGCAATACAGTTAATATGTAGAGCTAGTATAAAGGGATTGTTATTCATTAAACTTAACGTAACAAAAATTAAGGAGTTTTTGTTTTTGAAAATTCAATACATTTTTGAATATGATGTTTGGAAATACAATAAAATTACTAGTATATACAGTATGATTATAATTCTTGGCCCATGCTCTTGGATCCAAATTGATTCTGAAAGCAACCTCTTGATTTTGTAGATTTTTTTATTTTCATTGATAACGTACGTTACACTATATGCAGTAACCTGATTTCAATCATAACCCAATTATATTAATATGCAACAAAATCTCACCATTTTAGTCATGTATGGAGCATCCCATTCAATTTTAGTGACATTACTTGTTAACTGAAAATCCTTAAACTGAGAGTACTACTGGCTAATGTATGTATGACCATCACATGCCATACTATAGTACTACAGTAGTACAGTTTCCTATGTATAGTACTAGTATGTACGAGAGCTCCACAAGAGCAAAATGTCCAAGTTGTTGGTATATTTAGAGATGAAAACTAAATAGGCTTTGGATTGTTCAATTTCAAGTTTTGATGCTACATGTACATGTGTATGCTACTAATTTTCTTTATGTTAGCCTCTACACAATGCAGCTGATGTTACAGTGCAGAGACGAAGTGTTTCAAAACCTCACTCCAGAGGAAAAGAAAAACTTCAATTACACCGAACTGGGAAAGAAAGCTTTTGAGAAGATTCGTATCGAAGGCAAGAATTTGGGGCCAATTGGAAAGTGGGCAGTCGACTTATCAGTACTGGCTTGCAATTTGGGAGTGTGTGCTGGCTATATGATCTTCATTGCATCTAATCTACGTGTATGTTATATGTAATATATTGTAATATTGGAATATTATTTTATCACTGGGTCTATGTAAGCAGCCTGATATCATTGCACTGATAATTTATTTGTTATTAATATTGTCAGTATACCTGTACATGTACATATTATTGCTTCAATTTCCAATGAGTTAACTGCACAGTTAAACTGTTAGTGAGTCAGCCTTGAATGATATTTTATTGTCTTGATGCGACTGTTAAATTATTTATTTCTTTTTCTTTAGTGGGCATTCATTTGCTTTGCCTATCATCACGAGACTGACAGTGGGACTTGTTTCACTAGTTGGGAGTTGTATGCTATAGTTCTCCCAATACTGATACTCCTCACTTATCTCCCTACATTTAAGTATCTTGCTTATGCTGCTTACCTTGGAGCCTTCTTTCTTATTGTGGCAATGATTGTAAGTATAGATCTATGTGTGTGTGAACCAGGGTTTCCCACAAAGCATGCTAAGCGACCAAACAGCATGCTTTATGAGCTGACAAGCACTATAATACACAGTATATGGCATTTGGGTTAACTTTAAAAATTCATTAAAAATCTAAATTTGATCAAAATTAGCTCAAAGTTGGTAGGACATGTATACGCATCAGGAAAAAAAAATATAAAAATAGAGGATTTTTCCTAACCATTTTTGATGAAATTTGGCTGGATCAAGGTGTTGTTTAGCCTGATTTTTGAGCAACTTAAAAAATTCATGAAAAATGTCAGTTTGATCGGAATCAGCTCAAAGTTGATGCACAACATAAGGACCTGTATATGTAATAGAAAAATGTATAAAAATGGGAAATTATCTCCTTATACTTTTGTCAAAATATCCTGTACTATAGTACAGGGTTTTTGGTCCCAATTTCTGAATAGCTCAAAATAATAAACTTGACAATCTGCTAACAAGGAGCTATGCCAAAATTCCATGGGAAACCCTACTGTACTATATTCACTAATTACTGTCCAACATGTACTTACATGTATGGACTATTATTGTTTGTTCTTTTTTAGACTGTCATTTATTATGGGATACGTGATGGTTTTGATTACAGTCCTGTTCAGTGGGGACCAAGCAGCTGGGAAGGCATTGCCCAATGGTTTGGGCTAACAGCATTTCTCTTTTGCGTTCACAGCATGGTAGATACCATTAATCATTGTGATGACTCATATTATGTGCGTGTGTTTTGTGTGTAGGTTATTCCATTGCAGAACAGTATGAAGAAGCCTCAATACATGACGTATGTCCTTGATGCTGCTGCTATTGTTGTGGTTGGTATTAATCTTCCTTTTGCTCTCTATGGCTATTTCATGTTTGGTAAAGATACAAAAGGTAAGTTTTTCTTTACTATATACCCTAATATTAGACCAATATTGTAGTATATGCTATAGCTTCCATGACTTTTAAAAGTTGATATCTTATTTCAAGTATTCAAATGATTGTTTTTATCTTTTAGGTTATATTTTTGAGAATATTCCTGGCGGAGTTTTTAACGATATTGTTAGAGTTTGTCTCTCTATTGAGTTGACCCTAACATTCCCCATTGTCTTCAAGCCAGCCTCTGATGTGATGGAGGAAATCATTCAAGGAGTTCTACTGGTACTTGGCTATACAGATCAAATAATTGTATTACTAGTGATTTACTGTTTGTGTTTAGTATATTGCAAAGGCTAAAGGTGTCAATCAGATACTTGAAATGTATGGGAAAAGGGTAAGTGAACTTGGCATTACCATTGTGTGACAAAAATAACCAAAATTATGACATTCTTTTACAGTGATAATTACTATTTTTATGTTATACATGTAGGATCTGAAATGGAAATTTATTCACACAGTGATGGTGTGTGCTGTGAGGACTCTGTTGGTACTGATTTCTTGGGGTGTGGCTATTGGTATACCACGTTTTGAACTCTGTCTGGCTTTTGTTGGTAGTCTAGCCGCTAGTGTCCTTGCTTTTGTCCTTCCTCCTCTATTTCATCCTCTCTTGCTCTGGAAGAAGACGCATATGTCTAGAAACATCCTCCACATTTTCATACTGGTCGTTGGAGTCATTGCTACTATTCTTGCTACAGGTATCAACTTGTATGAAGCTATAAAGCAACATAGCAGTGGAAATGATTGCAAATCTATACGGGAAGGCTGTGTAGCTAATCATTCGAACAATACACTGCACTAATAACTGATATGATATAATGCATTGCTATACTGTGCTGTACTGATGCTGTGTATTTCCATCTTTATTATTTTGCTAATTACTGTACTCGCCCCAATTAACGCTCCCTCCTAATTATCGCACCTCTATACATGGCTTCCACAATAAAAACTCACAATAAAAACTTTCTATTGAGTCCACCTCCTGGTCAAGATAATAATTTTTAGAGGTGCTTTGTTATTAGAAAGTCCCCATTACAGGTGTATTATGTACTTTGCTATGCAGCTTTCTAAACAAGCACCTCCTGGAGCATTTCATCATGCATTGTTAATGTTCCATTATTGTTCCTATCCAAACAATGCACCACCTGAGACATGTAATTATTTATCGAGAGGGCCGTTAATAGGGGCGAGTGCGAAAGTATTATATATTTGAGTAAAAATTTTGTTACCTCCAGAGGTGAGAGATGAAGGTAGACTCGTTCATCTTCTTTGGCTTGCTCTTTTTGTTTTATCAATCCCCCATCCTCTTGGCCGAAAGTAATACTGAGTATGTCAATAGTGGTGGGGATGTGTATCTTGCTGGTCTGTTCCCGGTTCATGCTAACCCGGGGAGCTCTGTAAGGTGTGGAAAGATACTTGATCTTGGAGTCCAGCGACTAGAGGCCATGGTGCATGCTGTCGAACTAGTTAACAACGACACTGAACTCCTTCCAGGTATACAGCTAGGATTCTCCATTAAGGACACTTGTATTAACAGTAACTATGCACTGGAGCAGTCACTGAGCTATGTCACCAGTGACATTCATTTTGACACCGGAAATGGCACGACTTTGAGAGGTGTTTCTGGTGTCATTGGTGCTGCATCAAGCTCAGTCTCTATTGCTGTTGCAAGTTTATTCCGACTCTTTGATCTCCCACAGATAAGTTATGCATCCACAGCTAGGTTCCTAAGTGATAAAACAAGGTTTGATTATTTCCTACGCACCATCCCTCCCGACCTATTCCAGGCTCAAGTGATGGTTGATATTGTTGTGAATTACAACTGGTCTTATGTCATTGCCATAGGTACTGATGATACGTACGGTCAAGAGGGAATCAAAGCATTCACTGAGGAACTGGGAAATTCTGTTTCAAGCACTAATAAGACTTTCAGTGTAGCTACTACCATAAAGTTGCAAGTCACAGCTACTGAGGAGGATTACGATGCAGCTGTAGTGCGTATGAATGATGAGTGGATAAGGAACTCTACTGTGGTAGTCCTGTTTGGACAGTTAGCCACAGCAGAGGGTGTTTTGAGAGCTGTGTCTAGATATGCGAACCACAGGCTAATGAATTTTATAGTGAGCGATGCCGTAGGGGATCAGCTGCCCAGCCAGTATCGCAGTATGGGCCATAGCATGATCAGTGTATTACCACGCTATTATGAGAGCCAGAGCTTTAATGAGTATTTTACTTCATTACTCCCCAGTAATAATCCTAATCCTTGGTTCAAGGAGTACTGGAGTGCTTTATTCAATTGCTCATTTGCTGCTAATAGCACACAGCAATGTAACCCAGAAAAAGAAAGGAGCACGTTAATCAGTCGCTACAAACAAAACAGCAAAGTGCCTTTTGTCATTGATGCAGTGTATGCGTTTGCACACGCACTGCAGAATCTGATGCTAAATGTCTGTGGAGAGATCAAGCTATGCGACAGGATCATATCGTACAGGGACCATGGTGTCATAATCAATGGGGAGCTGCTCCTTCAGTATATCAAAAATGTATCGTTTCATGGAGTCTCTTCAGAGATTACTTTTGACAGTAGTGGTGATGTGCATGGCTGGTACTGGATCAAGAACCTTCAAAGGAAACCTAATACCGTAAACGAGTTTTGGTTTCTACCAGTCGGTAGTTGGAATGGAGGAACTCTGAACTTAACTGATGATATAGAGTGGGCCACTGATAAAGTCCCAGTGTCTATATGCAGCACTGACTGCACATCAGGTCAGTTTCCTCAGAGGGTTGAAGGCCAGGCTTCAGCTTGTTGGATATGTGTGGAGTGTCCACGCAAGAATGAAGTAAGTACTGGAAAGAAGTGTACAGTCTGTCCAAAGGGTTTCTCACCGAATCCTGATAAAGATAACTGCGATGTTAATCCACTTGTGTACCTGCGTTGGGGCCATTTCTTCTCTATAATTATCCTACTACTGACTCTAGGTGGTTTGATTGTTACCTCTATAACTGGGATTGTCTTTATTGTTAATTACAATCACAGTACTGTCAAAGCCTCCAGTCGTGAGTTAAGCACTGTCCTTCTAATTGGACTAATCTTATGCTATCTGCTGCCATTCTTTTCAATTGGTGAGCCAATAGCTGTCACATGCGGTATAAGAAGGTTTGGCTTTGGTTTCTCCTTCTCCCTCTGCTATGCGGCACTATTGGTAAAGGTGAACCGGATACATAGGATCTTTAACAGGCAGCGTACATCAGGCCAACGTCCTCCACTCATTAGCCCACACAGTCAACTACTCTTCACTGGTCTCCTGGTCCTCATACAAGTCATACTCTCAGCTTCATGGCTTATAGTCCAGATCCCTGGTAGAAAGTTTGTCTATTATGAAAACACTACCGAAGTGACATGCAAAGCCACGGCTTATTTTGGTTTTGTCATCTCCCTGGGTTACAACTTTCTCCTCCTCATCATATCCACTTATTATGCCTTTCGCACTCGTAAGATACCCCAAAACTTCAACGAAGCAAGGTTCATCAACCTGACACTGTACAGCATCATTATAATTTGGCTAGCCTTCGTTCCTGCGACTGTTGGCATCTCACAACTGGGGACGGTGTATGAAACCGGAGCACAAGTTTTTGCTATAGTACTAAGTGCTACAGCTACACTCTGCTGCATTTTCTTTAGCAAGTTGTACTTCATGTTTAGTTCAAAGAGAAAAGAAGGTAGAGAAGCATTTTTAATGAGAGTAACATGTTTATACTGTATGCCATAGGTAATGAATATCAAGCTGGAAACAATGACAGAAGGTTTTCAACTATGCAAGGAGGTAAGACCTAGCTAATATGGGAAGTGATAACCAATATTATAATTCTGTTAATTGTACTTCCACTTTACACAGAGAATCGAATCAACATATTCATAACACCACCAACAGGTACGTGCATCCCAGTCCATTGTTATTTTTAGTATCATAATTATCATTGCAGGACAAAGGTCTACTGGGAATGCATCTAATCTCAGTCCCAATCTCAGTCCTAATCTCACTCCTAATATTTCCCCTAATATTTCCCCTAATGTTTCCCCTAATGTTTCTCCAAATGTTTCACCAAAAGCCTCACCTAAGAAGAAATAAAGTTTATCAACTCAACAGTAACAATTCATTGTGTATTTATCACTTGCAAAAATGTATGTGTGATCATTATATGCCTTAGCCTTTAGTAATAATTATTGGAATGTGTATTTAGATACTAATAGATGTTGAATCACTTGATATGATAATCGAGCAAGTGTTATAATAGCTTCCACCACTATAGCTACATAGGTCAAAGATATTCATAGAAAAATGTTATGAACAAAAATAACAATCAATCAATATGTAACAACATGGCATGGAAAAGTAATGATTCATTCACACGCAAATAGAGAGACACTATGCATGTACTGACAAACAAACAATGCAGTGAATGCACGCAAAAATAAATACAGACAAAGTCATCATGAAAATAAAACTAACACAAGTTTAATCGTGCGGGCCAGGGTAGTGTCCATTGACTCCATTTGCTTCATTTTTTACAGTCAATAAATGTCCGTTGTCTTTCGAAGTCCGTCTGTCGCTCTCTTTATCCTTCATGAGCCTTTGCTTATAACTAGATTGTTGTTTTCGAGATGGTAACTCCAGTTTGCTTTGAGCTGGTTGTGCAGGCTTTGCCGTTGCTCCTCCTCCTGTTGATCTCTTTGGACTGTAAGAGTAGGACATTGATTGTGAGTAGTGAGTTGAATAGCTTCTTCCAGAGAGCTCAGCTTCTAGTGGTCCCCTTACTAACATAGCCCGTCTCTCACTTGGGTCACTCGGGGGGTGACTCCCTATCAAATTTCTAGTAACACGACTCCCCACTAGCTCCGCTCTGTGGTCTGATCCGCTTCTTCTTAGTTTCATTTCCTTAAATCGAGTCTTGAGGTCTTTGAGGGCTACCTTTGGCTTTGCAACCGGTGGAGGTTTGAGGTTAAATATAAACACACCGACAATAATAATGATGAATGATAGTATGTACAACAGTGAGAACTACAAAGTAAAGAATAATAATGATAATGATTTATGATTCTGTAATCAAGTGTGGCACGTACATGAAATTTGAATAGGAAGATACCAAAGACAAGAGTGAAGATATCAGATGTTAGGAGAGAGAGATTGACAACCACAGCACCTGATGCCTTCATGACAAAAGGCATCAGTGTATAGAAGAGAACCAAACACACAACAAACACTATGAGATTAGTGATACTAGAGCTGTCCCATGCTACAGAGGCCAGTGATATTCTTTCAATAAAGCACCTAGCAAAAAACCGAATTAATGCAATTAAAGTGTTTGTTATTATACAGCTAGTCAATATCAACCAGTAACATAGACAATACTTTCTAACAATAGTGTTATCAATTCAATGAAGAGTTCAATAATAAATCATACACATACAAATAATGATGATAATACTATTGAGAGGACTGTAGTTCTCTATTACTATTATCAAATAAAAGATGCCAACTGTGAAAATTGACAACAATTCAAAAGGACAATATCTGTATGGTTTCATCATGTAGGCATGTAGTGTCACTCATTCAACCCAAACACTCACTGACAACACTGTCATAAAACAAACACATACCATACATGATTTCTATGCACACAATTAGAGTTTAGAGTATATGTACATGTAAAGTGTGTAGCACATTTATTTCTGGCTATACTCACAATTGTATTCCACTGACAAATGATCCTATGAATCCAATAAAGCCAAGCCACTCCAAGACTGAATGGTTCTTAACAAGATACTCTTGAGATACATTACTAACAGCATACAGCACTGAGCCAAATATGCACAATAGATCACCAAGCAATGGATTAGAACCTAGAAAGGAAAAAGATTACTATACAACAAAATTCGATTATAGAGCTTAAAACTATCACTACAACTATAATGTTTAGAGTTTATGAAATGTGAATTCATTAAAAATAATCTCCAGTTGCAGTTGCATCATTCAGTAATCGGATGATTATGTCATTCATTCCCCACATGACAATACTAGACACTATATACAGTCATCATGAATACTAGTATAAATGCAATTACACAAGACTAAAATGAAAATCAAATGTCACACTTGACAATATCAAATTTTCATAACATGAAGTGGGACTCTGGAATCAACAATAGCATAAATATGTTAGATAAACAAAAACTATTTAATAAGTTGGCAGCATGCTTGGGTGCCTGGCAAAGCTTATTTACAAATCCTCTTAATCCTCCAGTTACAGCTAATTGTAATGTACTCATATTGTAGAAATAATGTGTGCGTGTGTGTGATCAGGCTATGCTGTACCTTTGTTGCCTTCTTTTGTTGTTGAGAGATCAGCTAATACAAGTGATATGATACCAATCAGACACATGGCAACACCCATCAAATGAATTATCAAATATCGGACCCTTAGAAACACAAATGAAAGAATGAGAACTGTAACAATTGTAAAACTATCTAAAAGCTGAAAGAGAGGGAGGGAGAGGGAGAGATGTAGATAAACATAATGATAATGTCAATGATACTAAATAGGGTATTGTACATGTACATAATGTATAGACATGAACATGCATACCACACATTCAAATGTACACAGCAAAGAGCTCATAGCTAGAGTTTGAACTTTCCTTTCTTAAAAACACACTCCTACCTGTATACTGGTCAATGTGGTGTATTTGTATGCCAATACAACCAGGTAGTTAGCCTCCACATCAATGAGGCCCAATATAATATACCGCCACCAGTTCTCCTTCAATACATCCAAGAAATCCCTCTTCATTACAAGGACTGGGAAAAAGAGAACAGCCATTACTAAATAGACTAGGAATAACTGGGTAGTTGGGACAGCAATCCCATAGAAATCCTCCAAGGCTTGGCTGGTGACGCCAGTACCACAGAGGAGGCAGGAGAGGACCTGACCACCGAATAAAGCAAACAAGAGATGCCTGGAAAGGAGTGATGGTATTGTGAATTGTTCATAAACCTCACCTGTAGGATTTGAAGTAAGTGTATATTCGTCTGAGAACTGCCCCAATGCACTTGTAGCAGCCACTGCAGCAGCCATCAGTCGGAGAAGGGTCGGGATCTCTGAGGAATGGACGGGACTCTTCTTCTACTGTGGTAGCCATATTGACTCATTCTTCATCCAATTAATAATTAGATTTTATTGTTATTGTAATTTTGTTTTCATTGATTCTGGGTGGAGCATAGCTTTTAAGACTAAGTAGGCGTGTCTAAAATAGACCACACCTTTTCATTAAAGATGGCGACTTGGTCCCAACCGATTGGTTTTCACCAGTCTTGCTTAAACGAGCTCGCTCGCTCTCTGAGTCAAGTCAACAAGGCAGTAAAGGAAAAGGTAAGTGTTCTGTGATACATTGAGTTATCTGTTTACATATCTTATATCAGGAGACACTGCTTCTTTCTCATTGTCCTTCCTTGGGTCAGTCAGGGCCTGTTCTTCACTCTAGAGGTCTTAATGCTGTTGTTTCGCTAGGTCTGTATGCTCTACTAGAAGACAAAAATGGAGTATGTGCAACGTATAATGGCATTCACTCATTACGTAGTAACGATGCTCTGCTTGACTAAGTTCCAACATTTGTGTATCTAGAAAAATAATTGGGTCTGGTTATATATCGATGCGTTTTATTTATTGTAGGATCCATTGTAGTAAAATTTATAATTTAAACTTAATAAATCTTTATTTATAGTCTTATTTGTGTACATGTAATTTCCACCTGATTTAAAGTTGATGTAAATTCTTTCTTTCCCTCACTTCCTCTCTAGTGCTCAGTTAATGCAGTAAATTATCTCATTAAGTTGTTGAAATATCTTCCCAAAGCTTCTTGGACACAATACATTAGACAAGAAGGTAATTAAAGTTACTATTATTATTATTATTATTATTATTATTATTATTGTTGTTGTTGTTGTTGTTTTTTGTTGTTTATTAGATGGACTGATTGCTCAAGACTTCCATTACAAACTTTCACTGATTTTGTTGTCAATTGGAGAAAAGTTTCCAGAGTATTGTGAACAGGTAAATATAACATTATAATCATCATCATTATTATTATTATACTTATTATACTGTTTTAGGTTACAAATGCCCTCCTTGACTCCCAGCATTTACTAATAGGAGAGGTCATTAGTTGCTCCTCTCATTCAAAGGACAAGTGTATCCTTGAGCTGGTTCCCTCTCTCATTGGAGTCTCCAATACCTTGAATCAGACAAAGGACCAAAGACAAGACTCACTCAGAGAAATATTTGGACAAGAAATAACAATGAATGGAAAAGAAGGACAGAGCAAGTTTAGTTGCACACCACAGCAACTGAAAGACCTCCTGAATGATGTAAGCATAAGAACTGTCAAGAGTAGATACTCTTGGTACTGTGTATTGAAATTCTACTCTTATATTACGTTTACATGTTCCATATTATAATTAGAATTAGCCTGCATTTTCATGTACATGTACATTACGATAATGATCACTATGATCTGTATTGATTATGCATCGTTTCTCTTCCTTTCCTTATAAACTGTAGGTCTCCTCATTATTTAGTGGTACACACTTTGACACTCTTGATCAATATCTCACTCAACTCCCTGATCCTAAATCATACCCCTACCCAGTCATCAGTCACACGCTCAAGTGTGCTGTACTCACTTCATTTAAGAACATCATACTCTCTCACGGGGAAAAGGTTGATGTCTCCTATCGCTCCTCCTTGTACAAGTTCTGTGAGGACTTTTTGAAGTCCAGCAGTAGATTGATACAGGAGAAAGGAGGAGGTAAAGAAGGAGGGACAGTGTATGAGTGGGTTTTCTATATTGTCAAGTCAATGTGTGCTGCTATTGAGCTATCGGTCTGGTCAGTTACTGGAGGTAAGTGTTATATAGCAATCCTTTTATTCATTTTATTTTCTTTTGCTTTCTCTTCAGCTGGTGATTCTCTTTTCCTATACATTTCTAATCTCCTAGCTGTTAATGCTGGTAAATTGAATATTGTTGTGTCTCCATTAAGAGCGACCATACTTGAGGTGAGTTAAACTCCTGTTTATTGCCCTCCACTAACAGCTCCCTCTATTGTAACAGGGACTGAGTAAGCTGTCAGTTAAATGTCCAAGTCTTGTAAAGTAAGTCAAAAACACTTTAGCTTCCCTTTCTTCTATACATGTATATGTAATGTACTACCATATTTATGTATTTTCACTATACTAATAGGTTTGTGTACATGTACATTCAGATATACATGTACATATCAAGTTTTATTTTATTTTTTACTTTCATTAGTGGTGCATTGGCTAGACTGGTTGATTTCTTGCTGTCTCCTCTGTTCACTCACACTTACTCTGACGCCCTCACTCTTGGCTCAATCCCCACCAGGATCACGCCTCAAGCTAAGAGACTCAGTCACGATCCGTTCCCTTCTTCATCTCAGATTCACATTTCCCGTGTTGATAGTTTCCTCTTGACATTAGAGGCTCTTGCTTCATCTGTTGAAAGGTTAGTATTGGACTCTATTTCAATTCAACCACTTGGTTGTTCTCTTTAGGATACTAACAATAGATAAAGCTAATATCACATCGTTCATTGGTCAGTTGGGGAATAAACTATACACTGCTGATGTAGTGGAATTGTACGTAACAACAATGCACAGTAGCTTAATGGTTTGCAATATGTGTATATGTGTATGTACAATGTATGGACTATAATAGCCCATGGTTTTTCCTAAAAGTGGCTTTGAAATCACCCCCAATTTTTATTACATTTCCTGATACATATTGATGTCTTTATGCTACGCAGAAAGTTTGAGCCGATTCCGACTTCAATTTTTCAAGTTATGGCCATTTTAAAAAATCACCAAAATTCTGAAAAATACCCAAGGCTATAGCCCATGGTTTTTTCCAAAAAATGGCTCCGAAATCACCCCCAATTTTTATTACATTTCCTGATACATATTGATGTCCTTATGCTGTGTAGAAAGTTTGAGTTGATTCCGACTTCAATTTTTCAAGTTATGGCCATTTTAAAAAATCACCAAAATTCTGAAAAATACCCAAGGCTATAGCCCATGGTTTTTTCCAAAAAATGGCTCCGAAATCACCCCCAATTTTTATTACATTTCCTGATACATATTGATGTCCTTATGCTGTATAGAAAATTTGAGTCGATTCCGACATCAATTTTTCAAGTTATGGCCATTTTTAAAATATGCCATACATCCTGTACTATAGTCCCATGCTTTATCTTAAAGTGGCTCCAAAATCATCAAATTATGTGTACAAACTACAAAAGTATCAAGTACAAGCAAATTTTAGAAAATGTTTATGCATTTTTAGAACTTCAGTTCGTGCAGCTGAGTGCATCATAATGTTGCTTGGTAAAGTGGGTGTGTCTCTGGGCAATGAAGAAGGTGTTATTGCTGGTATTTTGGGCGTGTTCCGCCAGAGACTGTTTCATCCAGTGAGCTGTCTTGATGGATCCATTGTCACTGAATTAGGTAACATGGCAGCTGAACTTGGTGACTCAGAAATACTTGAGGTACAGCATTTGATAATTATAACATTATGATAAATATACATGTTTATGATTAATATATTTGTTGTACCTACATGTACATGTATTCTTATTGTACATGTATAAATGTAATAAATGTATATTTTTTAGGTTTTGAGTCGTTTGATGAGTGAAGCATTAGGTGTAGCCACTACTCCTTATCCAACATACTCATCTCCTTCTAACCTCTCAAAACTAGCTTCTTCAAAACAGCCACAGCACAGAAGGAATGACAGTCAGGACATAAGCAACAAATCATACACGTAAGCAATAATGCATATACATGTACACACATGTACATGTATATGTACAAGTGTCTTTATTCTTTTTTAATTGTAATTTTATGTTTTGTCTTTAGGCATATATTCCAGCCAGTGATGGATGCTTTGGTTTACGTAGCGACTCATTTAAAAGAGAAAGACCAGCAGATGGAGTTCCTTCAGAAGGTCTTGTACTCGTTTGTTAATCAAGGGATCGAAGGAAAGAGAGCCATTGAAAGGAAGGACATGTTTAATCAGTTGAAAGCTTCTTCCTCCTCATTTTCACTCGGTCTTCTCCTCCCAGTATTAGCCACAGTAAGCATAATAGTGTACATGTACATGTACACATTCATAATAGTACATATACACGTACATGTACATGGATCTGTATAGAATATGTATGCTGTATCAGTGTGTACTCTAACTATACTGTACATGTAGCTTGTGTTTATTCCTTTATTTCTATTGTTCATGTATTTTCCTTTTAGTTGTGTAAGAACATGGATCCAATACTGATGCCATCTCCTCGTGTACTGAAACTGTTCAGAGACTTCTGGTTGTATTGTGTACTGTTAGGATTCAGTGAATCTGATAGAGGTACACCACACATGCATAGAGTATCTACATTGTGTACATGTACATGTGTACATGTACATGTACTTATAAACAACTTATTGACACTTTACATGATTGTATGGTGTGTATAATGTTTGTCAGTTCTTTTTACTCTTTTCATTTTTGGCATATGTACATGTACATATACTCATTGTTATTATTCTTATTGATTCCACTCATTAGGTGTGTTCCCTCCCTTGTGGTATGATCATGTTGCTGATATTGCCTCCAAGAGCCCGTTGCTGATAGTCTCTGGTGCTGAGAAGTATCTTGACAAGGAGCTGGAGCTCAACCATCCACTAAAGAAAGGAGACATCACTGTTGTAAGTGTATTGGTCATTTCAAGCACTCACTGCTCAAGGCTTTTATATGAATTGGCTCACACTTTCCATGTAGCACAGCTACATTGATATACATCAGGCTATGTACATGTATGTACACATGTAAATAAATGTTACAAACCAATTATATTATAGCTGATGTGCCAATAATTACAGTTAATAGTAATTGTGTGAGCATTTTATTGATGTTATTACATGTATTATTATTATTATTATTATTATTATTATTATTATTATTATTATTATTATTATTATTATACTGATAGGGCGAGTTACAGGAAGCAAGACTCTCATTGCAGGAATTGTTGGGACGTTCGGTCGAATTAGATAAACTTGTGAATCGTCTCAACTTTGCTCAATGCATGTACTTGCACTCAATATCTCGTCTGGAAACACTCAGGCATGTTCTCATCTCTATATTGCGATGTCCTTACTTTTTCTTTCTTAATTCATACATTTTTTCTTTTAATTTCTTTTGTATTCTTTAATGAAATAATTTTGACCTGTATTGTATTTATAGGATAGAGAAAGATAGTCGTTGTTTTTCATACATATTTGAGTATCTTGATGATAAAGGACTCCAGAAAGAATTATGGGGTAAGTTAGACTACCTACATGTACATGTAGTACTAGTAAGAGACACTGCTGTTGAATTTTATGTCCTTTATTAGTTGCAATGGAGGCTATTGCTGTGAAACTATTTGACAAACTACTGGATATACTCAATGACAAGGTATGGTATATTTGCACACACGCACACACACACACACACACACACACTGTATTGTATTGTGTTGTGTTGTTATTATTTTCTATTAGCCTTGTACAAAGGAGAGGGAGAAAGAGTTGGAGAGTCATGCTCTTCTACTGATATTCAAATTTAATCACATCCGTGGGCGTATCAAACGTCTTGCCGACACTTTTCTCACTAAACTAGTTGACAAGTAAACCCTTTCATTTCAATTATAATGACTGGATCATTAACATGCATAGGTTCCCTCATTTGCTGTGGAGCAAACGTGTGCTTCATACACTATTGGACTTATTACAGGAATTATCAATACACGTTACATCACAGGTAAGTATAGGCATTTTTGTTAGTCCTTATACATTATTAAATGTATCTCAATATTAATGTGATGATTTTTAGGAACCTGATAAATGTGTATTAACTGAAATCAAACTATCATATTTGCCACACACTGTAATACTGCCTGATGTTATGAGTAAAAGAGAGGTACAGCAATACATATATGCACACTTTATCACCCTCTCTCTCTCTCTCTCCATTAGTCTACTGTTATTAATTTCGCTAAAAGATGTGGTGAGATCATTAAATTTGCCATGGAGTGGGTACCTACTCAAACCAAGTCAATTTTAGAAGTGAATTTACAATTTATACTTTCTTTTTCTATCCTTTTCTCCTCTTATGCTAATACACATTATAATAGGACTACATTGCTGTTGAGAGTAACGTGTTACAAGGTTTACTGCATCACAGTGGAGTATCACTAGCTTCATCACAACTAGCATCTCACATGCAGTACAATACTAATGCTGAACATACTCCAGTAAGTACTCAATGAATGTAAAATATGCCTATATTACTTTAAGCTAGCAATTTATGCCATTTATTAGTTATTTCGTGTGTAGTTTTCAGTATTAATTTTTTTTCTATAATAGATTGCAGTGATTAGTAATCATCCTGATTGCTTGAAGGACACTCGCTCTCAGGCTCTCTCTTCTGTTGTAATCCAAAGCAGCTTCATTGGAAGAGTAAAAGGAGCCATTGAACTCACTGATAGCTCTGGTAAAGATATAGGAAGAGATTAAGAGTGGAAGAACAGAGAAAAGAGAGTATTATACATGTAACTAGATTATTAGTAAATAAAGATTACTAGTAGATAGAAAGAGTTTATCTTGTGTATTAGTGTGTGTTTGTTCTCATAGGACTGGCTGGTATATACAATAACGCTAACAAGCAGTTGGTCCTAGCAATAGAGAAAAATGACTTGAGTCTAATCACAACAGCACTCTATAACATGACAGCTTTACTGATATCTTGTAAAGGTAATAAGTATATAACTATATGTAACTAAGTGTACATGCGATTATACATTCATTCACTGTACATGCTGTACTATCATAATTATTTCATTCTTTCTCTCTCTCTCTCTCTCTCTCTCTCTCTCTCTCTCTCTCTCTCTCTCTCTCTCTCTCTCCTTTCAGGTTCTCATGAAAGGACTACATTACATGCTATTGTTCATTTGCCAGTAAAAACATTCAACGAAGATGTTGTTACCATAGCAACACATTGCTGGCAGTGGCTCATTGCAGCGTGTCCTGACCTGGAGTTTAAAGTAATGAGAGAGAGATGGAGGGAGAGAATATTTTTGTGTGTTTTATTTATAGTTCATGAAAGAGTTTTCAGCAGCATGGCAGTGGACCATTACTGCCCAGAAGGGAATGTTCTCTCCTTCTTCAAAGAAGATCTCACCAAAAGATGTTCAACCACACAATGTCCTCATTGATGTAAGTCAAATACTGCACAAATAGACCAACATGCCTTGACTGTATTAGCTTAATGCACATACATACTATGGTATTATAGCTTCTTACTATAAGCTACATGTGTGTTTATTCCTTTGTAATCTTCCTTTTATTTTTATTCTTTCCTTGTTCCTCTTCTTATAGTTTTTAAGTGAGAGGTTCCAAGTGTTCTATACAAGCAATGAGTCATTGGTATCATTGACCAGTCAGATAATGCACCAGTCCCTTACTCTTGGTGTTGGGCCCAGTACTAGTGACCAGCCTCAGTTCCTCTCCCCCTCTATATCAGGAGCCACTCCTAGGTTCAAGTTCCTTACACTGGCCACTCAGTTAATACGTAACACAACCCTCATACCCAATCCTATTGACAGGAACTTGTTGAGGGAGAAGATATACAATGCAACAATGGATTATTTCTGGTATGTATTTTTTATACCTACTTTAACAAAATATGTCTTCATTTCTCCCTCTTTCTCCCTCTCTCTCTATCTTATAGTTATCAGCCAATGTGGATAGTAGGGGATATTAAGGCATTACGACAAACAATGGACTCCTTGATAAAGTATGTTTGTATAGCTTTATAAATAATATTAATTCCTACACAATCATATTTTATAATGTGCATAATTACATGTATTAATCATATTTGGTCATTGATATTTTAGGTTTTGGTCAGCTGTCAAGGAGATCAAGAATGTTGTTGCTGCTACTCAAAGTTGGTTAAACTCATCTTTTAATATATTCCTCATTTATGTTCTTGTAGCTTTTGATACAGGACCATCAACATTACCTCGCAACAGTAGCTTCTGGCAGGCACTGGACAGTCCTTCTGTACAGGTACAGGATAAAGGGAAAGAACTATTTATTCATTTATAACATAAAACCTTTATCTTTTTGTAGGGTAGCTGGTTAAACACTTATTCCATTAGAGGAAGCAACAGTCGATCACAATCACTCAATAGTTAGTATAAACTGTCTTTATTATTATTTATTTATTTATTTTATTTTCTAGTTCCATTAATGACTTCTACTGGTAAACGGAGTACAATGGTGAAGAGTAGAGTACTACTCAAGAGACGTAATCTTATACTAGCTATACTGGTAATGTGCCTATCACTTTATACACATCAGGGTTTCCCACTGGATTTTGGCATAGCACTCATGCAGCTTCTTGTCAGTGGATTGTCAAATTGCTTAAAAATAGGGCCAAAGACTCTGTACTGTAGTACAGGGTATTTTGACAAAAGTCACAAGGAGAGAATTTTTCATTTTTATAATTTTTTCTGATGCATATACATGTTTTTGTGTTATGAAAAAAGTTTGAACTGACTGTGATCAAAGTTGTTTTTTTTATGAATTTTTAAAGTTGATCAAAAATTGGGCCAACGACCAAAGGCTATTATAGCCTTGGGTCCTAGGCCAAATTTTGTCAAAAATGGCTAGGAGAGAGTTTTTCGTTTTTATATTTTTTTTCTGATGCATATACATGTCCTTATGTTGTGTATCAACTTTGAGCTGATTCTGATCAAAGTTAGATTTTTTATTAATTTTTAAAAGTTGCTCAAAAACTGGGCCAACGACCAAAGGCTATAGCCTTGGGTCCTAGGCCAAATTTTGTCAAAAATGGCTAGGAGAGAATTTTCCATTTTTATATTTTTTTTCTGATACATATACATGTCCTTATGTTGTGTATCAAGTTTAAGCTGATTCTGGTCCAATTTGGATTTTTTATGAATTTTAAAAGTTGTTCCAAATGCCATGTACTGTATGTATACCTTAAGGTTACTTTTAAATGTGGGTACTATTAATTGCGAATTTTGTGTTAGGGTTAAAAATCGCAATTATTAATACGCGCAATTATTAATAATGACATCATGATGCCATATAACTATTAGTAATAATTACTTAATCGCAATTTTTAATACCAGCAAAATCTACCTTGGGCTAAAATCGCAAAATTTAGTACCCGCAATTAAAAGTCACTCTAAGGTAGTGCTTGTCAGCTCATGAAGCTTATACTGTTTACTGTTTAGCTCACTTAGCATGCTTTGTGGGAAATCCTGATACACACTACAATGTATATTTATTTAATGTTACAAGTTTGCATTTTATGATTATGTTATTATTTAGCGTCATGAAGTAGACAGATTGAGTGCTTGGATGAATCCATTTGGAGCAGCTGAATTATCAATACCTGGTAAGAGGAGGATAAGAGAGTGCCTGTGTCTATATTATGTGTGTGTCAGAGAAATGAAGCATAGTTATTATTGTTGTTATTATTATTGTTATTGTGTACAGGTGAGGATAACCTTCAAGCATGGACCAATCCCACTCAGACTGACAGGAACTGGCAGAACACAGTCACAATGGCCTACCAGTCCTCACCTCATCTAGCATTCTATGTGTACTATAGGTACATCAATCCATCATTCATTATATTTATTATTTATTATTATTATTATTATTATTATTTATTATTATTAGGTTTAGAAGCAATGAGGCAGTGACTAGAGAGTTCAATCGTTTGATACAGACTAATCCAGTAGCATTTATTGATATACCTGAAGCTGCTCAAGTTAGTCAAGAAACTTATACTTTTATCATACCTACATGTTTGAGTGTATTCTCTTTAAATTTTAGACGTTTGCCAGTAAGGAAGTTGTTGAAAAAGATTCCAGAGAGGTAAGTCATCAACTTGATCAATAGACCATAATTTTATTATTATTATTTTTATTATTATTATATTTTGTGTATAGTTGTATCATTTATTGTATTGGAGAGGCATACCACCAGCAATGGCATTGATGTACTTCACTAGACCTTACTCCAATCATCCCATCACTGGACAGTTTGCTAATAAAGCAATGCAGAGCTTTAAACCAGTAAACTCATTAATAGCTATACATATATGTACATATATTGTATTATTACTCATAATAGAGTGATATAGTCCAGTTCATACCTCAAGTTGTACAAGCACTGAGATATGACAAAGTCAGTAACTTAATCCTAAATGTACATGTACACTGTCTTTTATTGTAGCTTGGATTTGCTAAGGATTATATTCTAACTGCTGCACGTTCATCACAAGTATTAGCACATCAGGTTAGCCTCTTGTATATTGATTAGATACATGTATGTGTATGTGTATTTATTAGTTTTTGTGGAATATTCAAGCAAATACTTATACTGACGAGGAAGGAGAGATCAAAGAGCGTAAGTTACAAATAAATAGAATAATTATTATGATTTTATATACATGTACTTGTATGTACATTGTATATTTCTATAATTATTTTTCTCTTTGTTTAGCTGAAATTGGTTCACTATTAGAGCAGTTACATAAAGAGTAAGAGTATAGTTAATATGCTATTGTTTTATTATCTGTCTATTAGGATATTGAATAATCTATCAGGAGCAGCTAAGAAGTTTTATGAGAGAGAATTCTCATTTTTTAAGAAAGTGACTGACATATCTGGCATTATCAGGTAATACACACTAATACTTATCAACAGAGTTCATTAATACATGTACACGTACACTGTAGACCTTATCCTAAACCAGAGAGAAAGGAACAGTGCTTGAAGGCACTGAGAGAGGTTACTCTTGAACCAGGTAATGTGATAATTAGATAGCAAAATACCTAATATTATACTACCTCAATTCGTTTCCTCCATTAATACGTACTGTAGGTGTGTATTTGCCCAGTAATCCTGAAGCAGTTGTTCTTGGAATTGATTATGATTCTGGCACTCCAATGCAAAGGTAAGACTGGCTCATCCTATCCTGTATAATAATGTTATACTTGATCTTTTGTGTATGTACATTGTAGTGCTGCAAAAGCACCTTTCTTAGCAAAGTTTAAAGTCCAGCCTTGTGGTATTGCTGAAATGGAAGCTCTCAACATTCAAGATGATCAAAGTAAACTACAATAAATTTTACATGCTACCTTTATGTATATGTGTGTGCATAGCATTAGCTGAGGATCTACAGAAATTTTTATCAAGTGATCAGTCAGTCTGGCAAGGAAGCATATTCAAAGTTAGTGAGAGGAGAGACAGAGAGAAAATTGTCAACCTAATCCATGGATGATTTTATTTTTATCTTATTATGTACATGTGTAGGTTGGTGATGACGTACGTCAAGATATGCTTGCGTTACAAATAATCAAATTCTTCAAAGACATTTATGATGAGATTGGCCTACAACTTTACCTAGTTCCTTACAGGGTAGTAGCCACAGCTGCTGGAGTAAGAAAAATATAAATAATAATAATCAAAATTTTGCTTATACTTTATATTTTTATACAGTCATTATTACTATTATTCTTTGCTTCCTTAGTGTGGTGTAATTGAAGTTGTTCCTGATTCAAAATCCCGTGATCAGTTGGGAAAGCAGACCCAAGTCTCACTCAAGGAGTACTTTCATTCAGTGTATGGCGATGAAGACTCATACCCATACCAGGAGGCTCGCTCTAATTTCATACGCAGCATGGCAGCATACTCACTAATAACTTACCTACTGCAGATCAAGGACAGGCACAATGGGAATATAATGTTAGACAAATGGGGACACATTATTCACATTGGTAAGCTAACTATACATATACATGTGCATGTGTACTGAATGGGAATTAAGAATACCCATATTAACAAGAGGACTTATCTGGTTTAAATAAATGGTTTACTCTGTGTGTACATGTACGTGTGTGTGTGTGTGTGCATGTGTGTGTGTGTGTGTGTATTTAATTTTTGGTTCTTTCTTTAGATTTTGGTTTTCTCTTTGAGTCATCTCCTGGCGGTAATCTTGGGTTTGAGCCTGATCTTAAACTCACTGAAGAAATGCTTGAAATAATGGGAGGAAAGAAGAGCGACTCTTATAAGTATGAACAATGTATTCCTCCACCTTTTCTATTATTACTATTGTTATTATTATTATTATTATTATTATTATTATTATTATTATTATTATTATTATTATTACTATTATTATTATTATTTTATTAATTTAGATGGTTTCTTGAGTTGTGTGTTCAAGGGTATCTTGCTGTAAGACCTTATCAGGAACAAGTTGTGGCTATGGTGACTCTAATGCTAGACACTGGTTTCCCATGCTTCAGAGGCAATACAATTGATGAGCTAAGGTACTGTAGGCCTATGAATTGATTAGCATGTTGGGTGGGACTTCAAACTCTTTTAGTAATAGAGTTGGTTGTGTATGGTATAAGTGAATTATTTCTTTTATGTACATTTTAGGTCTCGTTTTCGAATGAATTTCTCTGAGAAAGATGCTGCTAGGGCCATCATTGAAGTTGTTGAGTCGGCATGCTTGAATTTTAGGTAACATAACATGAGAATTCTTTTGTAGCCATTTTTTATAAAATACTCTGTACTAATATAATTTTACTATTATTAATTAATTTTACTGTGGTGTTTGAACAATTGTTGAATAATCTGGTACTGCTGTTATATCTATTAATCTTCTACAGGACATTCTCTTATGATCTCATTCAAGATGTCCAGCAAAACATTTATTATCACAAGAAAAACTAATTTATTTCTCTAAAGTACATCATGTTTGCCAATTGTTATGCTATTATCATTGTTATTCAGTATTATATATTAATTGGTTATTGGCATAATTATTGTGCCACATAACTGATTGCAGAATTATTAATGACATTATTACATAATGATGTTATATTGTCTAGCAGTTTAAAGATTCTACACTAAATTCACTAAAATTAGTGCACACAATAATTGTTAAAGGTTTTCAGTGTCTTTGTATCACAACTCCATATGCAGAGCATTCATTGGTTGGTATGTTATTGACATTAGCATTAGTACCAGTTATCATCTCAAGGTTTTCATATTGGGCAGGTGGTGATGGATTCCTCTCTTCTTCAGTTCTCATTGTGTTACCTATATCATGCTCGTAAAAACTTCTAATTATTAGTCTATGAATAACACACCTTTTTTCCTGCACCAGATTACAATAGAGAAATTTATAAAAATAGATGCAAAGCAAACTATGAGTGACAATCCCAGTGTAACACCTAAAATTACAAAATATTTTTCATTAACTTCTTTCAGTTGTTTACCTCCAGTTATTGTAAGTAAAGTTGATGCAGTAGAAACAGTAGGAGATTTTAAATTCCGCACTGTTGTTGTCTGGCTTATTGAGAATAAAGGAATACTAGAAGAACTGAAAGTAGATTCAATTGTAGGCAATGCAATAACAATGATTGAAGTAGAAGCTGCAGGTGAATATAAATGAACAGATCCATCACTGTTGATATCATAGACACTGATACTGTATTGACCAGGTTCAACAGTCCCTGGGATTGATCCTATTCTGAGTTCTCTTAAAGCAGTAGTTATGTAGTATAGTCCAATTGATGTTTCATGCATGACAATGTAACATCCAATTGCTTGTGACCCATGTACAAACTCACACATGAAACTGGTATTAGTGCTGTCAGTAGAGAGAACTGTAAAGCTACTAACATCAAAGAAGCCTATATGTATGTACAAACAGACCAGTATGTGAGTAGTAAAGAATAATAATCAATTGTAGGCTTACTAGATCTAATAATAACTACATGGGAAGAGTTGGTAGTGTACAAATCACTACCATATTGTGATAGTATTATAGTAAAGTTGTAATATCTGTCATCTATTACTGAAGATGGGATATTGAATGTAGCTATTAGTTGACTCATAGTGATGACAGTTATGTTAGTTGTATTATAACTGACGGTACTATTAGTTTCTTGTAATGATACTTGACTGATACATAATGATGAACTGGATGAGGATAATTCAATCTATTTTGATCCTTTAAAATATTATTTATTTATTTAATACTTACTTTGATAGCTATAATCCAATTTTGTAAACCATCATGATATTGTTGTATGAGTTCATTACTTAAAAGTACAGCTACATAATTGGAATAAACAATACCATTACTCATTACAAATAGATTAATATACTTACAATTTGTTACATTGAAGTCGTAATTAAATACTTCCCCCTCTCCTACACTATTGACAGCAGCTATACTAACAGTGTGGATACCAAAATCCTTTGGACAGTATGTCCATTGTGATACATTGACATTAGTTTGAAGTAGCATACTATCAGTAGATGTGATATTAATATTATATTTCAGTATAGGAAAACCAGATAGAGTGAAAGGAGGTGTCCAATAGAACTGATGACAACAAGAATCATTGGACTGTGCTACAGTTAGATTATTAACAAATTTCAATCTACCTTGTACTCTCAGTATAACTGGAGAAGGACTGAAGTGACCAATACCAAATCCAAATGCAACACATAGTACTTCAGTGTCATTGAATAGATTCACTAGTCCTGGTATAGTGAGAGAAGAGACTGTTGTTCCTACTCCATTAACAATAACACCAAGTGAAGTAAGTGTTGAAGCTGATACTGTTTTATTTAGTATCCAACTAATATGAACAGCTGAATGATTTGATGAACAGTTGAAGACTGCTGTATCTTCCTCAGCAATAGTAGGAGGGTCAGGAGATGAAGTGAATGTCACCTCAACATTACCTACAAGTTATCAAATAGCTGCTATATGACAGTTTAATGACTAACTTGATGTAGACACTATTACCAATACTAAGAAAGAGAAGAGCAGCATTGTTATTTGTAGAGGTTTATGCCATCATCAGGATAAAATTATTAAGCATAAATAGAGCTGTAATAATTTTTATATAGAAATAGATCACTTTTGATAACTACATGTATTATAACATGGGAGTGACATTCATTTTGATGTAAAAATGTCAGCACATGATTCTCAATAGAAGAGAAAGGAATTGTTCTTATCTATGGATTGAAGCAAAGCTACTTCAGTTAGAGATTTTATTGGGGTTGCATGGCCCCTTGACCCCTATCAGTAAGAACACTAGATCTATGTAATATCAAGAGTGAATAATTATTTAGGGAGAGTGTCTAACCTGCCTATATTCTGTGATACCACAGCGCGTATGTTTACATCCGTTTTTTGCAAGTATAGATCTACAGAGTTAATCTCAGTAATCTTCAAATTTATGGGTGTGGCTGATAAAATGGCGTTTGGAGCATGCAGGCAACTTTAAGACTTATATCTCCACTCTGAGGATCATGTAGTGCGAGAAACAAGCAGGAGCAGACGGGAATATGTTCTTCTAATGGTTGGCTCTTTCTTATTTGCAGCTTTCTGAC